CTCCTTTTCTTTGCTCATCGCACACCTATTCACGCCGCAGGTGGAGCCTCCTGGAAGAGATAAAACCTGCACGAAGGAAAACATAAGAACCTGGAACGACACCAAAGCACCTAAAACTTAATACTACCAGAAGTTGGTGTCTCGGGCACCCGCAGCCTCCTACTGGGCCACTCATGGGCGGCTCGAACAGTGGCTGACAGGATTTACTCCGACGACTGTTCGAACAATCTCTGCTCGCGAAGTCTGCAAAAGTTGCAACCTATGTCACCCACAAGATCTTTCTGTACAGTTCTTCATTTGTTTATATTCTTACTGGGATCAAGTGCTGCAGCCGTAGTCGAAGAGGTCCGCCCACCCGAAAAGTCTCTTTGCGGAACTGGTGCTACCAGGGACTTCTGGTGGCTCTCTAAAGTGACCAGACCCACCGCACAGTTTGGTGCAAAGAACTGCACGCACCTTGAAACTGTACAGGGTGAGTGCCATAGAGAAGGTTAGTCGGTTAGTGCCTGCAAGTGGACAGCCTGTTGGTTGGACTCGTTAGTAAGAGCGAAGAACGCGAGTCGGCTTGTATAGTGCTGCTTACCCGACTTAGTGTACAGTTGTTTGGTTTAGTTGTTAGGAATACGTTTCACCCTGCCTAAGGCTGTCCGCCCACCCAGAAAGAAAGAAACAGGCGAGCAGCCAGAGGCGGTTAGACAAAGAATTGATGAAGGAACGACGGAAGTTGAAGAGAGACCAGAGAAGTTTATTGCCGTCGGTGAAGCGTCAAGTACAGTGAGAAGAGTGGTTGAAGCAAGAAGTGTGAAGAAGATAGCCTTAGAAAGGAACTTCCACAGTATCATGATGATGAAGAAGTTGAATTGGAAGAATTTGAAGAAGTGGAAGCTGAGTTTGATGAAGAAGAAGAATGGCAAGAATCAGATGGTGAAGAAGAGATACCAGAAGATATGCCAACATGGTCAAATGACTTCGAACGTGGACCACCAAAGTTAGCTGATGAAGAAATGGAGAAGGTTGAAGGTGTGTCCAAGAAGCATGAGTTGGAAAGACTGGAGAAGATGAAAGTGCTGAACAAGTTGCCAAAAGGAGCAGACATCTCAAAGTACAAGTTTCTATCGACGAAGATAGTGTATGACTGGAGACACAGAGACAAAGAGTGGAGAAGAAGAGGACGATTGGTAGCAAGAGAGTTCAAATGGTTAGGTCATACTGACGTTGCAAGTTTGTTTTCGCCAACCGGTGTAGCAAGCACAGTGAAGCTACTATCAGCCCTATTTGCGTCTTCAGAAGGATATACACTTGGAAGTATCGATGTTGGAGATGCTTACCTAATGGTGGAACAAGAAGAACCAACAGTGGTTGAAGTCGATGGAGAGTACTAACTACGAACTGGGATACACGTTACCCGGTCAGCGAATCGGGAGTGCAGCTTGGTTTGGAAAGTTGAAAGGTTACCTGGAAGAGTACGGGTTAACAAGCGACAGTGGACTCCCGGCACTATTCTCAAGGATGCCAGATGAAGAAGGATTCGGAGTAATCGTATTGAGTCACGTAGATGACATGGAGCTGTATGCATCAAGAGAAGAGTTCAAGAAGTTGGTTGAATTCCTGAGAAGCAAAGGATTGAAGATCAAAGTTGAAGGACCATTGGATGAGAAGGAAGGATCAATGAGTTTCCTGAAGAGAAGTTTCAAGTCGATGAACAATGGAGACGTGGAGATCACGATGAACTCAAAGTATGTGGAAGGACTGGTAGAAGTGCTTAAACTGGAAGGAGCATATCCGAAGAAACTACCGTGTCCAGCAGACAATGGAAGAGCATTTCAAGCAAAGAAAGGTGGAATGGAACCGCTGAGCGCGGAAGATCACCACACGTACAGAAAAGGAGTAGGGATATTACTGTATCTTGCGCCTGAGAGGCCAGATATCATGTATGTCCTGAAGAAGCTGTCGACAAAGCTAGCATCACCCGTTGAAGCAGACATGGAACTGCTAAGGTACGTTGGAAAGTATCTGAAGGGAACGCCTGAACTTACGTTGGTACACCAGGGAAGCTATCCTGGAAAGAGTTTCCTGGAAGGGAAGAACAGAAGCGACGAAGGAAAGGTCGAAAGAGACAACTACAAAGTGCCAGCATTGATAGAGGTGATAAGTGACAGTGATTGGGCAGCAGATCGAGAGTCAAGACAAAGCGTATCGTGTGGAGTGATAATGGTGAATGGGAATCTGGTTCACTTCCAAAGCAAGAGGCAAAAGAGCGTGGCATTATCATCTTGCGAAGCCGAGACAATCGCAGCGACATCAATCTTGAGTGAAGGTGTATTCCTGAAAGGATGTCTCCCTTGGCTCGGCGCAGCAGCTGGCGATCCCCCAACTTGAGGCAAGCCGTGTGTGTCGACCTGCCTTCCCCAATGGGATTATTCAGAGAAGCGTGTTTGTGTATGTGTGTACCAATATATAGACATGCCAGTTACTACGATCGCAGACGCTCGGTACCCTCACTGAACAGACGAGAGGCGATCGCACCTTTTTCATGCGACCGCAACGTGGGAGTCGGCCACAAGTCCGATCATCAAAACTTCATTTGATCTTCACAAGTCCGATCGGACCCCCGATCGCCGGGGGGTGAGCCATGGCATTCACCACGGGCCGCAACATCATCCGATCGGACGCATCAGACAAGCGATATTCCCCGCGAACAAAATTAAAAGTCTTCGATCGGATCATCTGGCTCGGGCGAAGGCTCGTCGATTGGGTCCTCATCGAGAGGAGCCGCGCCCAGCAAGTCGATCAGTTGCCGCTCGGCCGCCCGAAAGGCCTCAGAGGGAGTAGCCTTGGCTTTAGCCCGAGCAGGAGCCGCCCGACCAGCTTGGTACGCCGCGATCTGGGCGGGACTGGGCGGCGCCTTAGACGGCGGAGTCGAACCTCTCGTAGGCACCAGGATCTCGGTACCGGGAGGTCGCTCCGCATGGGGCAATAGGGGCTTTGATCAGCCGTTCTTTTATGTGGATCCCGAAGGTGGCCAGCCTCGTCAAGGCCGAGCAGCTCCGGCGGGCCGAACGGCTAACCGGGGCAGTCACCGCGCCGGCTGGATCCATTGCCGCCGCTGAACAGAGGGCAGACCGGCTATCTGATCCCATAGTAATGGGAAAGCAGTGGCTGAGGCTCGTGGCGGGGATGGACAAAAGGTCCAATCCCCATCAGCTCTGCCTCCCTCCAACGTCTGGTCGCTTCCTCGCGGAGGGTCCTGATCAAAAGCTGTTCCTGGATGCACATCCCTCCAACAGGAGGAGAAAGGCCTCCAGCCGGGATGTTCCCCGGAATTCCCGTCCCAGGCACATCTCCACGGTGCCTTTTGGGAGGCGCTTCCCCCGGCCATCCAGGGCCCCAGTCCTCGTCTTCTTCCGTAGGAGAAGGGTTGTTGCCCGGGGCAACAAAGACTGGAGCTGGAGTAGGACCGGCACAGCCATATAGTAGAACCCCGAGTGGGGGCCTCGTCTGTAACCCCCGCGTCGGTGGCAGAGATGTGGGACTCCGTTTCGGCAGCCATGAATATTCCTGTGCATTTGTTGCGATCGCTGGGAAACCCTTCAGGGATGGCTGGAGGATCAATTGGAGTTCCGGGGATGCCCCCTCCTTCCGAGATGCAGGAAGTCCACGGCAGCGATGAAGAGTGCGGAGACAGAGAAATCCCTCGACGTGTTGCTGGACAGTGTCAAGGAGCAGTGCACCCTCATGAGCCAGCTTGCGGCTTCCACAAGAACGGTTACCAGCGAGCTCATGCAATTGCTGAAGAAGCGGAAAGCTGCGCAGCAGAAGGCAGAGGAAAAGAAGAAGACGGAGGCAATGAAAGCCGAGGAGCAACAGGGCGAGATGGAAAAGCTTCGTCTTCAAAAGAAGAAGAAGATGTACATCCTCCCGGAGGGATGATCGCTTTATTCTACTTTGCGAAAATTTTTCAGGTTTGAAAAATTAACATCATGTTTTTTTCCACACGACTTTCAATTTCACTGTTGCAACGGTTGGCTGTTGAACATGTGAATGAATCTATGTCCCTCGCTCGCCTCAAGTGGTGGGAGGGTGGGACAGCAACATAAGTTTGCTGCAGCTGCTTTTGCGCCCAGCCTTGAAATGAGTGACCAACTGTCAGAGGGAGATGGGGGCAGTGACAGGCCAGTTGGTGGAGAGCAAGAGGAGCTGCTTAGTCCTTTCGAGGCTCACCTTGACAGCTTAGCAAGTCGTGATTTTCTGCGTGGTTCGGAAGATGGTCGACAGCAGTCTCCTTTTCGCAGTGCGAGTTTTGACCCTAGTGAACTGGAAGAGGCTCAATGGTATTCGAATGCGAATGTATCGGAGAGGGCAGGCAGCATTCAATCCTTTTCTGCTGCGGCTGCTGACCGCTCGGGGCCTTCGCATTCTTGCGGACCTTCTTTCGCTACAGTAAGTGGAGCTGCATTATCGGCTGGATCAACCAATGTGTCCGCGGCCGTGGCCGCGGCACACCAAAGCCTTCCGGCCCCTGGCATTAAATTTTTCTGGGAAAGTGGTTTTTTTGGTCTCAGATTTTTGGTGGCAGGGACGACGCTGCAAACTTATATGGTGCAGACTTCAAGAGGCCCGAGGCACCTGTGCTTGGTGAGGCCGAGCTTCAGCCCAGGAAGGTGCCCAGACAGTCTGGGCCGTCAGTTGGAGCGGTAGGCGGCTCCTCCTTCTTGAATGCTGTGCGTGATCGTGAAGTTCTCAGCTGGAAGCAGAAAAGAGATAAGGAGAGGGATGAGGCTCTTTCTCTCTGGGAATCTTTGTTGGTTACCGGCCTGAAAGGATTACTGTGATCGGCCAGATTTTGGCACTCAAACCACAGGTCCGCAGAGGTATGGTGGAAGACCTCTTGGGAGGCAAGGCACCGGCCACTCTGAGGAAGAGGTATCGCTCTGTTTTGGGGTATGCTTTATTCCTTCGCAACCGGAGGGTCGATTTTCCTGGCAGCGAGGAGTTGTTTTATGCTTACATGTGCATGTTGCGAGAGGAGGGCAAGCCATCGTCTACTCGCAAGTCGCTGCTGGAGGCTATTACTTTTTGCCGACAAGCCTCGAGTGCAGGCTTCTCCTTTTGCCGTAGAGGAGCTCAGCAAGTTGCATCGAATATTGTTTGAGGACCCTGAGCCCTGGAATCAACTCATGGCCGGATCCCTGTTATTTTGTGTGTACTCCCGCGCCCGATGGGAAGATTTGGAGCATGCTGACCGCCTCATAATCGATAGGGCCGATGATGGCATGGCTGCGTACATCGAAGCATCGGTCGGGGTGCACAAGACGATGGGTGCAAAGATTATGAAAGGGCAACTTTTGCCTCTGGTTGCACCGGCTGTTGGGGTGGTAGATGGCAACTGGGTCGAGCAGTACGTCAAGGTACGCGGCCGCTTGGGTTTGCAGGAACCCCCCCACAGCCCTGTTATGCCGGCCCCCGACCGACAAGGGATGCCAACGATTAGAAGCTTGGATTCGGATGAGGCTGGGGACTGGGCCCGACTGCTCTTGTATGGAAGCAAGGAGGTTCGCCCGGAGCGTCGTGTCTCGAGTCATTCTTGCAAGTGCACGTGCATCAGCTTTGCGACGAAGTTCGGGCCTAGCCCTGAGGAATTGCTTTTGCTGGGATATCATACTGGTGACTTTAAGATGCCTTTGACATATGGTCGGGATTCTGCTGCGCCTACTTTGATTCTGCTTAATAGAGTTCTCCTCGCCATCCGACAGGGAACTTTCAAGCCTGATTGCACCAGGAGCGGCCGATTCGTGAAGCCTTGCTCAGGTGCTGTTGTTGAAATCAAAGATGAGGATTCAGTATTGCCTGAGGCTGAACCGTGCGAAGAGCCAGTTTCGTCTGAAGCTGCGACCACGGGCTCAGGCAGCAGCTCGGAGTCTTCTTCGGCGCCGGTTCAGGGTAAGCCTTCGTTTGCAAGGTGGGTTATCCCTGACCCACCGGAAGGGATGAGTTATTTCGAGCATACCAGATTAAAGACTTTGCATCTTGTGCAAGACGGGCATACGAGAAGCTTCGCATGTGGCCGTTCCGTTGGGCCGCTGCATAGGAAGCTTACTGATCGTCCAGGTCCGGTGTACACCCGATGCAGGATGTGCGCAAAGATCGCGGAGGCATGATAGGTCAAAAGAAGTTCTTTTGCGGAGTGCGCATGTTCGTTCATGTGGCAGTCATGTACATGTCTTTTCGCTGAAGCTTGTAGTCATGTTCTGTTGTGTGCGAAACGAGGGGCTCGAAAGAAGCCTCAGTGAGGTAGATCGGCATGTCAACCATCGTAGAGAGTGAAGCCGCTTTCGAGCGGAGATGTCTGGAGATCAGAGGAGATGGTTCCCTAGTGGCGGGGATGGCAGGGCAGGGAGTGAAGACGTTCAGGTCTTTGGCCTTTGCTCTGGGCACGCCCCAGACCCCGCCGACGGAACTCGCCTTTGCTGATTTGACAAAGAAGGTCTTCGGCTCGGGTGACGGGGATCCTACAGTGGGTGAGCTTTCTTGCATTCGCCAGCTGCATTTCGAAGCATCCACACTTGTCATTCAGACATACAGGGACATGGTGAGTCATGAGTCAACGGATGGAGCACCGATGAGGAAGCTCCCGCTGCCTGAGAAGAGAGTCCGTAAAGAGTCTCAGCAGGCGCGTCTGGCAGGTTTGGAGTTGGAAGGAGAGCTGGATCCAGCTTATCAGTTGGTCGATGCTTGCAACCACCAGCTCGAGCACTCTGTCATTTATTGGTTGGCCCCATCTAAGTGTCCTAAGAGAGAGCTTGAAGTCATTGCTGGGTTCAAGGAGAAACCTAGCGTGCTGCAAGTTGAACAGAATACGGTGAAGCTCGGAGGACCCAGCACCACGATCGAGTGCGATGCTTCTGATGCTTTGAGGTGTCAGTGGGCCTGGCAGCGTAGGGGATTGGCGTACGATCAGTGTCGCATGATTTCGTACAACGTTCATCAAAAGTGGGTGCAGAAGCTGCTTGATTGTCTTTCGATAGTTCCGCCACCGAACTTTGCAGCAGTGACCCTCTCGCAATGTGTGCGGGCAGACAAGGAGATGTTTCTTTTGATGTCGCAGGAGGGCCTTGCATCTTTCAAACAAGACGCTTCGGGGAAACTTCCTTTGGATGCAGTCATGAGCCGTTTGATGCATGATCAGCGCATCTGTCAGTTTTTGCTCCCTATGCAGAAAACTCAGGTGCAGAGGGTCCCGGGCGTGCCGTTTAAGGATACTGAGAAGCCGGGACCTCCGGATGGTCCTCCACCCAAGGTCCCGCGAGTTGCCACTGAGAAGGCGAAGGCTAAGGCGAAGGCTCGTGGTGGTCCAAAGAACAAGCCGGCGAGTCTTGCGCAGTACGAGACCCGGACCAAGTTTGGTAATGCATGCTGGGGTTTTAATCTGGAGGATGGTTGCAGCAATAAGACTGAGAAGGATCCGAAGTCAGGTTGGATGAAGTGTGAGAAAGGGCTGCACGTTTGCGCGGCGTGTCACAAGCCGGGGCATTCCGTCCTTACGTGCAAGTCAGCAAAGAAGGAGTGACTAGCTCCTTTGCAGGCTGAGTGTCACTCCAAGCCAGTCGCGTCTTCTGCTGACAGAACAGCTGCCGGGGAAGTGTGCGATGCTACGCACTGTCGAGAGTCCGTTAAGTGGACTTCGAGCTTGAGTGGTGTTCCCTTGAGCGTGCATGTGAATGCAGTCGGCAGCTGTGCCGATGCCGAATTCCTTCGGGCTAGATTGCAACTTAAACGACGACCCGATTCAATATGTCATGGGAATCCCGTGTGCACTGGCACATCTGGGGTTAGTGCTGAGGCAAGCCGTGCCATTGAGATGGCAGTGCCTGCAACATCGGGTTTAGGGTTTTCTCCTAGGCACCCCCTCGCGAATGCCGATTCGGAGGGCCCCGAGCCCCCTTTTGGGTTTAGATCCTTCAGGTGCTGTGACTACGAAGACAGTTGCTTCGTCGACCAAGGCGGAGGAGACACCTAACCGACCTGCCTCATCCGAGGCTCTGGCTCGAGAGCTCCTACGCATAACCCGCTTCGATGCTGCCAGCTGTCTTCGCTTGTTGGACTTGGTACCTAAGGATAAGTCTTTGAGGACTTCTCAAGCTCAGACCTCAGAGGGTGGAAAGCTTGGTTTCGGCTTTTATGTTCGCGCAGGGGAGGCCTGTGTGTTCAACAGCTGTTCCAACATGCCGATGGTCTGCCGCTACTTGACATCTCTTGTTCGTGTAGTTGATCCGACGTTCGAGTTTGGAGCCTTACAGCTTCTTTTCAATGTCCAGTCGGGTTTTCATCTTGACAAGTTCAATGAAAAGGGTTCGCTCAACTTGATCATTCCGCTGACCGACTTCGTTGGCGGCCAGGTATGGACTCGCGATGAATCTGGCGATGTCACTTACGACCATAGTGGGGCTAGTCTCAGGGGTCGCTTGATGGATGTTGCATCAGGCCCAGTCAAGCTTGATCCGTCGGTGCACCATGCAGTCATGCCTTGGCAAGGAAATAGGACAGTCCTTATCGCATACATGCCGTCGTTCTCGGAGCGGCTTCCCACCGAGAGTCGATCTCTCCTATCTGAGCTGGGATTTGTTTTCCGCAATCTCAATTCAGGTGCCACTGTCAAGCTCCGTGACATTCGCATGGTCACTCAGGGCCCTCCTGCTCCAGGATCTACGCGGCCCCTGTCGGCCGAGGTACCGCTTGTTCTTGAGCTGTGCTCTGGGCACGCAGTGTTATCTCGGGTTGCTGAGAATTTGGGTTTTCAGGCCTTGTCGATTGATAACAATTCTTCCAGGGCTCCTGGAAAAGAGATCATGCGCCTTGATCTCGCTGACGCTGATAATATCGATTACCTCTGTGAGCTAGTTGAGTCCGAACGGAGTCGGATTGCATTGATTTTCATTTCGCTTCCTTCAGGAACTGCAAGTGTTCATCGGGGCAAGCACATTGAAAAGTGGGTTCGCCAAGGTTTCCAGTTGCCTTCTGCTCTTCGGAGTTCTGACTACCCCGATATGTTGCCCGGGCTCTCTGGGTCTGACCGCCGCCGAGTGGAAGAGGCTAACCAACTGTACTTTGAGGTCGGGCGCCTGGTTCAATTTGCTTGTTCCTTAGGACTCCTTGTGGCTCTTGAGAACCCTGACACCTCGCTCTTTTGGCAAACTTCTTTCTTTCGTGGTATTGAACAAATTGCCAAGGGCTTTTTGACACGTTTCCATTTGTGCTGTCATGGTGGTGAGCGGCCACGTCTCTTGCGATTATGGGCTTCTCAGGATGTGTTCGCCCCTCTGGAGGCTAGGTGCGATGGCTCGCATCAGCATCTTCCTTGGAAACCCCGTCTCGTGGGGCGCCAACTGCGCTTTACTACGGCTGATGAGTCCATTTATCCGACCGCCCTGTGCCATCGGTTGCTGTCTCTGGTGGCGGTGCATTGTGGTTTGCCGCTTCACCTGCCAGAGTCGGCTTCTGGCATCCCACTCAGTCATAAAGCTACCAGGATTGCATTAGGCATTCAGCCACGTGGCAATGCGTTCGGTCCCCTCGTGGCTGAGTTTTCGCATTTTCTTTCATGCTTTTGTCCTTCGTCGAAGCCGCATCTTGCCGATGCTTATTTGGCACAGCTGCCTAAAGGTTCTCGCATGGTCCGTAGGCAGGTTTTGAGGTCGGGGGAATCTCAGGCCGTCGAACATTGCGAGCATTGCATCTTTCTTGAAGTGAACGATCGGAGATCGCAAAGCGGTGTGTTGCCATCGGTTGAGCTTTGCAGCATAAGCATCCCTTGCGAGCCGGATGAATTCATAAGAAGGGCCGTAGAAGTGGGTCACCCTCGCAGTCTTGATTTTCACCTGGAGGAGGAAGTCAGTAAGGCCGTACGATCCAACTTTGTGGACGATGCATCGGAGCTGGCTCGCTTTAGGATTTCCTTTGTCAAGAAGTGGAGTGCACGTGCCCAGGAGCTTCAACCAGCTGAGGATAAACTTCATTCTGACATGCCAGATTATTTGTCCGAGGTGCTTCGTGGCAAGCGGCTCTTGTTATTCAAAGAGATGATGACAGCTGCGGGCTGCAGTGATGAACACTTGTTCCGGGACATTGCTTCGGGTTTTCGGATTTCAGGGTGGGTGCCTGTGACAGGTAATACGGCTCCCAAGGTCCGGGCTCCAAAGATGTCTTCCACCTCTCTTAGGTTGTTGGCCCCGGGTTTAAATAAAACTGTCTTTTCCTCCAAGCTTGCTAGACGACAGGACGAGGAGCTTGAGCAGACAGTTTGGGCCGAAACTCAAAGGGAGATTGACTCCTGTTGGGTTTGGGTCGCCACCGAATTCTCAGGCCGTAGCATCACCATGCGCTTTGGCATTCGCCAGGGAGGCAAAGTAAGGTTGATAGACGACTGCACCATCTCTTGCTTGAGCCTTACCGTGGGCTTGAGGGAGAGGTTCGAATTGCACACGATAGACAAGCTTGCCGCAGTTCTTTCCTGTGCTTTAGAATGGGCCCCTGCCGGCCATCTGAATCACTGGGTTGGAAGAAATTATGATCTCAAGTCTGCCTACAAACAGTATGGCATTCATCCAGATGACCGAGATCTGGTTCGCATTGCCATCAATCGGCCTGGGCAAGATTCGCCGGAGATTCTGGGCTTGAACGCCCTCCCCTTCGGCTCTGTTGCTTCTGTTAGTGCTTTCCTCAGGGTTTCGTATGCCGTTTGGAAAATCGGTATTGTCCTGGCCCGAGTGCTGTGGACTGCATACTTTGATGACTTCACGAATGTTTGTAGGTCTCTCCTGAAGGATACCACGGCTTGGGCCATCGAAAGCTTGTTTGACCTTTTGGGCATCTCTTTTGACAGGTCAGGTCGCAAGGCTGTGCAGCATGCTGCAGTTTTCGGTACGCTTGGTCTGCAAGTAGATTTGTCCCACTCAGCAGAGCGCCGGGTGCTCATTGGTCACACAGAAAAGCGGAAAGATGAGCTTGTGGAATCCTTGAATGGCATAATGGATGCCGGGAGCCTTGAGCCTAGATCTTTCGAACGCCTTCGTGGGCGCATGGTCCTCTTTGTCAGCAATCAGGCTATGCGCACTTTGGCGCGTGCAAGCAAATCCAGTGTCACTTTCGAGTTGGGCTTGAGGCATAAAGCTGCGCTTCAGGTTCTTCTTGACCGTGTATCCTCCTCAGCTCCTTTGATTGTTCAGCCGCGTATCAGGTCCACTTGGATCCTTTTCACTGACGGAGCTTGTGAGCCAGAGCGACAGTGGGGAGGTATAGGGGGGGTTCTTATCTCCCCGAACGGATCTTGTGCAGGATACTTTGGAGAGGAAGTGCCGTCTTCCCTTATGCATGATCTTCTCGCTGCTTCGAAGAATCCGATCTTTGAGCTCGAGCTTGCTCCTTTGCTCATCGCGTATGAGCTCTGGGGTAACTTGTTTGAGGGATCACAGCTGGTGTGTTATCTTGACAACGAGGGCGCGCGGCACTCTTGCATCCGTTGCTTTGCTGACTCATCTGAGCCATCGGATTTGTGGGTGCAGAAGATTCTTGAGCTCGAGATGCAGTCTCGAGTGCATGTGTGGTACGGCCGCGTACCCACTTCCTCGAACATTGCCGATGGTCCTTCGCGGCTGACCTTTGGTGCAGTCGAGCACATGTGCAGGTACAGGTCACGTCCTTCGTTGGCCACTCTCCTTTCAAGAAGGGGGTGGGCTCAGGGTATCGTGGCATTCCCCTTTGGAAGAAAAATGAAGGTCTGCCTGTGCGAGATTTTTATATATTATATTTCTTTGAAGAAAGATATCTCGATTATATTTGAGATGATCTTTGTGGAAATATTCGCAATTATAATAATTGCACATGATGTGTTTCGCAACAGAGAATAAGAACCCCTTCTTTCTCGACTTTAAGACTTTGGTGGCAGAGGCCCAGGCTACAGTCTTCACGGACCCCGCCAGAATTTCGGATGACAATTACACCAGACCCTTCATCCTCGCCGGGTCGAAGCTCATCTCTGTGCTGACGTCTGCGTCTGATGAAAGCAGCCTTATGCCCCCGACTATGGGGCGTTGGAAAACTTCTTTCCCAGCGGCCAAGCAATTCCAGAGCCATGGTGCAGTCATTGCACCAGTGATGAAAGCGAAATCCGAAGATCCTGCTCTGCTGCAGCTGATTTCCAAGCTGCTGCCAGACAGCATCAACAACGAGTTTCCTCGCTTTGCTGCTGCAGTGGGTACTTGGTTTTTTTATGGAGAGAGTGACATGTTCATCTGCACAGATTTCGAGAGTGAGCTAATCGGCGGATTGAGGGTCCAACTTGGCGGTGAGACCCAGTTCTATGGAATGCCGGTGACAGCCATTGTGGACGTGTGCAATGCAACCAAGATGAAGGCTGCTGACATCAAGGGCTTCCTTGCAGAGATGACTCCGGATCGTTTGGCTACCATTGCGGAGAGGGCGCTCCCCTTCGTGCATGGAAGCCTTCAGCCCAACTCGGCATTGGTGGTGCCGACAGGGTGGGTCATGAGCTATGCCAGCTATGCGACGGTTGGTGATGGAGAAGCCTCTTATGTGTATGGGTTGCGCAAAGGGTTCTTGTTGCGCAAAGGCTTGGAAGAGAGCAAAAAGCAGTTCCAGATGTTGCTGGCGAAAGAGATCGGTGGAACTGCAAATACATCCTGGTTGCAGTTCTTGCAGACGCTTGCCGATGTTGAGCTCAAGGGCAATCCTGCCCTGACTCCGGTGAAAGCGGATTGCCCCACCAGCTGACCCCACTCCTCCTGAGAGTGAGCCTGCCAGCAAGAAGCCACGGGTACTGGAGTAGGTCATCTCTTCGCGATATGATATGATCATATGATCCGAGCCTTGCGGGCCTTGCTGAGTGCATCATGTGCAGTGCAGTGCAGCAAGTTTTTGGCCCTGCTGTCAAATGTCAAACGAAAGCTTTTGCTCCAGCTGCTCATGGCATCTGGAGCCGACCTTAAGCCTAGAGCTGCAGCTCTGTGCAAATCCTGGTGCAAAACGAGAGGTGTCGTGCAAGTTCTTTGCTCCACTGCACCAGCATTGGTTCTGTCCGCCTAGTGCGAATTCCGAAGCATGCAGCCGTGCAGAGCTCAAATTCTTCAGCCACGCAAGCATCATAGAAGCCTGCACGTACACAGTAGACAGATTCGTGAATCAGAGGCTGGCGGAGTTATCGCAATGTAGCTCTATTGCCTTTACTGCTTCGACATGACACTCTTGCGGTCTAGTTCGGTATCCATTTTGAGTTACTTGAGCTTGCCATGCGTGGACTCTTGCTACATGCATTTTTTTGATGGGCGGATTTCGCTGTGTTGCACATTGAAGCTCACTCAGAGACATGCATGCCGGTAGACATACATTCCGGAATCCACGTTCTTCTTAAGCGAACGATCTCTTATGGATCATGCAAACGAGCTCGCGCAAACCTTTCTGAAAGGAAATCTTTAAATTATTTTAGCAGTTGTCGCGCGCTACGCGTGTCAAGTTTCCACATGTCTTTCATGTGCTTCAAGGAGAACAACAGTGTGGCATGAACGTTTCTCGAGGAGCGCAGTGATTCTGAGCATGGAGCGGGGGTCGCGCCAAAATATGTTGAGGCCGGACGGCCATTTGTTTTAGTTTTTGGACGGAAATGATGATTTTCTCTCGGAGCAGCACAGCACTTTCATTGTCCATTGCAAAGGGAAGTCTTTTCAGCGTTGTGGGTGAATGTATTGCAGTGCATGTCTCGATCACGGGTCGCATGTCTTGTCTTGGTTCGTTTTGCAGGTGCAATAGTGTTGTGAGCATCGCATACATTGAAAACATGTGATTCCATGTCCGTTTTGGCACAAAAATCTTATCACGATATTGCCGGCATACATGACTGGTGATTTCAGGAAGCAAATATCCGATCGGGATCCAAAACGACTTGATATATTTCGGATCCAGTTGTCATGTCACTTCGAAGTTCATTTTGACCCAAGAAAGGCTTTTCTGGACTGCAGCATGCCAAATGTCGCTGTTAATTTTCGACTCATCGTTCAGGCTACCTGGGGGACCCCGTGTCTGTCATATGTGGGTTTTTGTATGGATTCCTACATTCTCCGAAGAGAGAGTTGAAACCTGGTATTCCAACGATGCAAGTTCATGAATTGCTGGAAGCGGTAGAGGAAAAACATTTGTTGCTCCCTCCACGAAGAGCGGCCGCAGGAAGCTCTTGAAATACTTCACTCCGTTGGCTGCATCCTTCAAGCGATCCCTTTTGTGGATAGCTGCTTCACCTTCTAGCCGATTTCTCACAGCTGGTCCACGCTTGTCAGCATCAAGCTCAATGATGACACACAGTCATCGATCGCATCTTCATAGGCGGACCAACTGCTTCGTTCATAATATGATGGCGGTACTTTTGTGGTCACCTGCTGGAAGGCTGAGAGACGGTATAATTCATTGAGATGACGATGATTCGTCGCGTAAGATTCACTACCATCTCCTTCACCATGCTCAAAGATAGTCGCAGAGTCGCTGGCTTACAGCGCTGTCCTCGGATCGAGCCCGGGAGATTGCTCTTCCGGCTGTCTTCACCTGTGTGAGTGTGCCGGAGAGACTCCGGTCACCTTCACCTGTGTGCAGCACACCGGGTATTCCGGTTGCCTCCACCTGTATGGAGCGTACCGACAGGTACCTCCACCGGTGTGAAGCTTCCCGTTTCTCGGGAGCTCCGCTACCACGCTGGGGTGTAACAATGTAACCTGGACGTGTATCCCCTCGCTATGCGTACAAGAACAAGGCACTCAGGAGTCTCTTTTCCTACAGGCGCACATTTAGTCCACTGCACTAGAACCTTGAGCCACAGGCATGAATACATGCAAGTGATACGTGAAACAGACAGGCACGCTTGTCGTGAGTTTGTTGTTTTGGTCGACAGTGTTTTCGGTAAGTACTTGAGCTTGCATTGCTTCGCCTTGCGCCGCACTGCTAGCTCAAGCTGTCGACCCGGATCGCTTCCGATTTTAGCTTTTTCATGCATTGCACTTGCGTAGCTTGTCATGCAGCTTTACATGCAGCTTTCTACACAGCTTGAGTTTTGCACACATTTACTCTTAGCTTTTCTTGCGAGCTAGGCTTCTTTTGCTCCGCTCTGCTGCGCGCCATGGGTCGCCAAGGGCAGATCAAACGGCCGCGCGCCGAGTCTGCAGTCGCTTCTGCCAGCACCGCTGTGCACTCGCCCACACATGCTCAGCTTGTTGTGGCTCGCTGGGCCCTTTGGCGTCGTTCCCCAGGGTCCTTCGCCATGCCCAGCACTGCTTCTTGGATTGCATGTCTTGAGTCGGCATGCTCAGCAGGCTTCTTGCTCAGCTTCCTCTGCTTCTTTGACTGCCAGTGCCTTGCTCAGCTTTGCGTCGCTTCGCACAGGCATCTTTGCACTTCTTGGGACGTCTCTCCCTCTTGCAGACGCATTCTGCTCAGCGTGGCCTTCCGCAATCGCACCCAGCCCGAGGTTTTTTGTTGGCGCTATCAACAAGCTAGGCCCTGCCCCATCAGCAATACCCCGCCTCGCTTGATTCTCGCCAGGCGTCGCCTGGCACTTTGGTCTTCGTCGCCCCGCGTCTTCTTTCAGGCGGATTCGACTCTGAGCGTTTGCTGGTTTCAATTCAGAGTCGCGGGTCACTTCTTTAGTTGCTTCTGCATCGCTTCTTTCCGCAGCCTATCTTCAGCAAGCAGAGAAGCACGCACTGCTCTTAGCCAGCTGTACCATTTCACCCCAGCCGAGATTGCAACTCTCGCTTAAGTCCCGCCCCGCCTCTGTTGTCATGTCTTCAGGGTCCGAATGGCTCCTGAAGAGGTTCGGGCACTGCACTGCTGCTCCCAGACACTCTGGGAGCAGTGGTTGGAGATACGGCAACGTGAGCACCTCTTTTTGTTCTGCGATTTTACCAGCAACGCACCGCCCTGTGCTGCCCTGTGGTACCGCAGGCCCCTGCTTCAGCTCGGCATCTCTTCTGTGCCGATTTATTCTTTGCGCGACGCACAGCCCAGCAACGCTGACGTCATGGTAGATTTTCTACCAGGTGGTTTTTTCCACCCATACGCAATCGCACCGCGCCGCAACTGCTGTGCCGCAAGCCCTGTTTCACGCACAGCACATTAGCACAGCACCGCTTTTGTGGTTTTTCTACATTGCATCGCAAAAGCATTCTTGCCAGCATCCTTGTTGCATGTCGGTTTTCAGCCTTTAAGCTCAGCTTTTCTTTAGTGTGCTTTGCGTCGGCCAGGCACTTCTTCTTCGACTTCGACATCTACCTTTGGCTCGCGGGCCTGCTGCTTCTCGGTCGGGGCCGCCCCGCCTCAGTCTTGCAAACCCTCGCTTGGGTCGCGGCTGCACCGCCATGTCCTGCCTCAGGTCAACCAATCTCTGGGCGACACCCCCTTTTTCAGCACCGCTGGCTGCTTTCAGGAGCCGCCTGCCCTGCTCTTGTTTTCTTGCTGCGCTCAGCTCGCCTGGATTCAGGTCCTACTTCGTCTTCTGCTTCGCGATCGCTTCGCCTAGCACTGTTTTCGGCAAGCTGCCCTGGTTGCCTCTGCCTCCTTTGCTTTGCCGTTTTCTGCTCAGGTCTGCACCTCTTCTTCTTTGCGCCCCGACGGTCTTGGCCTCAGCTCCTTGCATGCCTTGCTCTGCCTCGCTTTTTTCAGCATTGGCTTGCCTACCTGTTGGCTTCCCTCCGTGCTTCGGCTCAGCGGGCTACGCAAGGCTCGTCGCACAGCTTCTCGGCCAAGGACCCATTTCGCCTTCAGCCCCGCTAGTGGCCCCAGCCTCTTAAGGCACAGCACTGCAGACAGCTCTGCTCCACTTCAGCTTAGCATACTTAAGCACACATCAGATCATTAACAGACTGACATTTTCACTCTGTTTTCTTTGCCCTGCACCGCTCCTGCATCATGTCCGGCTTGGGCGCTGCCTGGGTCGCACTCGCCTCTGCCACCAATGAGGAATTGGTGGAATCTGCACAGCGCCTTGGACCCCTGCAAAGCCTCAGGCTCAGCGCCTGCCTCACGCACGGCGCTTATCTGGCCGAGATCGAAACGCACTGCAAAGGCAACAAGACGCCCCGCGAGCCCCTGCAAACTATTCCGGAACCCCCGGCCAGCTCTGCACCTTCTGATCCTCCTGCACAGCCAACACCCGGCCCCGCACCAGCACCGCAGGCTGCTCCTGCGGCCACTGCCACACCTGAGCCGGCTGTTGCTCAGCCTTCCCCCGCACCCGCCGCTTTTTCTGACCCTCGTGGCACATATCCCCCAGCACCTCCACCGCAGGCTAAGAGCTCAGTGCCTGTGAAAGCAATGCCTGCATACCCGCCTGGAGCATTCTATTTGACACCAGTGGGAGACCAGTTTCTCGCAGCCCCGCACCCTGCACCATGCGTCGGCCCCGCTACTCAGTCTTGGGCCGATATGTCGGATCCTGCACAGCAGCCACCGCTTGACTTTGTCAACCCCGCACCGCCACCAGTGCCGGTTTGGCCCAAGCAGTTCACGCAGCAAGAAAAACGCTGCGCCGATCCCGCACCTGCTCCCCCCGCCCCGCATGCTCAGCCCCGCCCCGCCACGGCCAGGGAGCGGCGCGAAAGCCGCCCCCCGCCCCGCAACGAGGACTTCATCGCCGCCGCTGATGTCCCTGCACAGGATGATCTCGCACATGCCCCGCAAATCGGCTCTTGGTGCCAAGCATCGCACCGCACTCCGGCGGAAGTCCGCTGGAGTCG